GGGGTGTGTGAGTGGTGTCAGAGGACAGGATGTCTGAAGAGGGGAGGGCTCCTGGCCAAGAGCCAGAGGTCCCAGCTGACCCTCCCCAGGACCACTGGGCTCACACTCCCCCCAACAGTCTGCTGGGAGGTCCCAAGCTTCCTCCCCGCCTGCTTCCTGCGGGCAGAGGGAAGGGCTCCTTCCTGTCTCCTCTCCCCACCTGGAAAGGAGACGTGCTCCTCTCCCTGTCCCCTCCTGGGCCTGGTGGGAGGAGGGGAGAGGGCGCCCGAGGGACAGCGAGCACAGCTGGGGGTCTCCCAGCCCTGGCTTCAGACCCAGCTTCTCCATCGTCTGCTAAACACCTATCAGGCCTGTCATCTGACAACCATCTACCATCTATCACTTGTCTATATCTATCTATCTATCTATCTATCTATCTATCTATCTATCTATCTATCTATCTATATCATCTATATCTATCATCTATCTATCATCTATCTATCTATCATCTGTCATCTGCCTATCATGTCTATCATCTATCATCTATCTATCATCTGTCTATCATCTATCATCTATCATCTGTCTATCATGTCTATCATCTATCATCTATCTATCATCTGTCTATCATCTATCATCTATCATCTGTCTATCATGTCTATCATCTATCATCTATCTATCATCTGTCTATCATCTATCATCTATCATCTGTCTATCATGTCTATCATCTATCATCTATCTATCATCTGTCTATCATCTATCATCTATCATCTGTCTATCATGTCTATCATCTATCATCTATCTATCATCTGTCTATCATCTATCATCTATCATCTGTCTATCATGTCTATCATCTATCATCTATCTATCATCTGTCTATCATCTATCATCTATCATCTGTCTATCATGTCTATCATCTATCATCTATCTATCATCTGTCTATCATCTATCATCTATCATCTGTCTATCATCTATCATCTATCAATCTTCTATTATCTATCTATCTATCTATCTATCTATCTATCTATCTATCTATCTATCTATCTATATCTATCTCATCTATCATCTATCACCTATCAATTGCCCATCATATCTATCGCTGCCTCTCTGTCATCCCCCACCCTAATTAAACCTGCGCTGTCCCGCGGAGGGCGAGGGCTAACAGGCACTCGGTTCCACCTTTGGAGGGAGTTATTTAAAGAAAGGCAGTAAGTCCGAGGCAGCTCAGACGGGTGGCAGGGTGGGTAGGTCTGCCCTTGGGAGCCAGCTGCCTGGGCCTGAGTCTCAGCTCGTCTGCCCATGGGTGACCTTGGGCAAGCCCTAGACTCCGGGGACAGCTGGAGTCCTCAGTTCACAGGGAATCGGGAGGCTCTCGGAGTGGGTTCAGGTAAAACACTAGAATGTAGCCGACACTTATCCTGAGGTCACCTGTGTGTCATTTCAGGCAGCACGCGGATCTGGCCCAAACCTTTGGCCCTCTAAGGCTTTATAGGTGGGGAAACTGAGGCCAGGTGGGGGAAGAAGTCAGCATCAGGGTGTATCCCAGAGAGTGGAGGGCCCAAGGAGCCCCCTGAGGAGCCATCTGGGCAGCAGAGCAGGACAGAAGGGAGCCAATGGCGCCCCCACCCCCAGGTGGGACAATGGTGGCCCCAGCCTCCAGCAGCAAACTTCCTTCCTGTCTGTCTCTGCTCACGTCCCCTCCTTGTCCTCGGCCCAGCTGGCCCGGGAGCCCCTTCCCCCCTCCCCTGCCCCCTTCTTCGGTAGGTCTGGCCCTTTGTGTCAAGGGCAGGGGTCAGGGCTGGTGGCAGACAAGTAGTGGACCAGGCACCGGGCCCTGGGAAGGATGGGGCGGCGGGAAAGGATGACCTACACGGGGGACGCCCCTGTCTGGGTCTGTGATCGGGCCAGGCCACTCCTGCTCCCGGGTTGGGGATGTCCCTGCTCAGAGTGCCAGGCCCCTGCTTTGACCTGAGCTGGCTGCTCCTGCTCCATGGGCCCGTTTCCCTACAAAGGCCCCTCCTGGAGAAGCACCTCCTCCAGACTAGACGCCAGGCTTTCTTTTCTTGTGGGGGTAGGTGTGGGTGGGGGCCGAGACTGGGGACAGCCTGAGGCTCAGAGGTGGAGGCACAGTCTGTCCCTGAATTTGCTGGGCTCTACGCGAGCCCCCGGCCTGCCCCACCTCCCGAGGCCTGGGCAAGGCACTGAGAGCAACAGGCACCCTACAGATGTGAACCATCTCAGAGAGGTTAAGCACCTTGCCTAGGGCTGCTCAGCCCATGAGGATGGAGCCCAAAACTCCAGGTCTGACAGGCTTCATGCACACGCCTGTGCGCACACACACGGCACCCATGGCGCACACACGCCTGGCCTCGACTGCTGGCTCTGAGCTGAGGGCTTCCAGGCGCCCTTCTGTCTACTCCAGGTTATAGCTGCTGTGGGGCAAATCAGACCACGGGGACCCCAGACCTGAATCCTTGGGCCTCCGTCTCCCCACCTATGAATGGGGTGTGGGAAGCTGTGACCTCAGAGTGTAACTCCTTCCGTGCCGCCCACTGTCTCCAGCACACAGTGTGGGTGCCCGTCTCTAACTGAGCCCCCGCCTAGCACTGCAGCCCCATGGCCAGAACTGCAGGCGGTTCCTCAGCTCAGATGACACCTCCTCTGGGAAGCCTCCCTTGGCCTCCAGTGGGCTCTTACGCCCTCTGCTTCCCTGACTCCCCACCCCCATCGCTCGGCCTTGTCTGGGTGTCTGGCACCCGGTTGCCACTAGTTGGAGACCTCGTCTCTAAAACCAACTTTTGCCTTGTTTCCCCCCCCCCCACCGGGACAGAGTTATTGGTCACCCCGGGGTGGGGGTGCCTTCCAGGTCCCCCATATTCCAGGCCCGTCCTAAAACCTCTCAGGCCCGCGAGGAACAGGCCGACCAGCAGAGGGCGCCCCAGATGTGGGTTCTCCCCGAACCCCAGGCTGCCAAGACCCACTTCCAGCCCCAAGACAGGGTGGGGTTTTGTTCCCACAGAATGATGGCCTTGGGGGGCAGGCGAGGGCAGGGGCCAAGGCACCAAGAGTCAGGCATGGCCAGGCCCTACCTGCCTCATTTACTGCAGAAGGTGCCTGGCACTGGGGGACTGAAGGAATGAATAAATGCCACCTGGACTTGAGCAAAATGTAACTTCTCTGAGCCTCAGTTTTTAAGTCTGTAAAGTAGGGTGGCTGTGAGGAGTGTACAGCATCTGGCAAGCACAGTGGGGTGCAGTCCATGGGCACCCCCTGCCCCTCCCACCAAGGCAGCAGGCGCGAGGCCAGAGCCGCCCCCGCCCAGGCCCTGTGGCTGTCTCAGCCTGGCTGGCCCCCCCTACACCGCGCCCGGCTCGGATCCTGCCCTCAGTTCGTGATACCTGCTTCAGGCTGAGGACCAGCCGTCAGGGCTCCCTTGATGGCCGCCGTGAGGGCAGGGGCTGCCAGATGTCAGCGCTGAGTATGGCCCAGGAGGGCTGGGCGCCACCAGGCCTACCGCGACACCCCCAGGGCGGCTCCTCCTGCTTGGGAACAGGTGGGCTTCAGTGGCAATCCTGTCACCACCTTGGACGCCCCAGGGCAGCGCCCGCACAGAGAGAAGTGACCCTCAGGTCCCAGTAGTTGCAGGTGCTGCCTGTCAGGGCCCCGCAGGTGTCTGTGGCCAGGGTATCCCACGGAGGCTCCCTCCATGGAGCAGGAACAGGTGAGCGGCCACTTGGCTCTCCAATGGCCACCTCTGCGAGGGTTCAGAGAACCTGGGGGCAGCCGGGACCTGGGGGCCATGGGGGGGTGCTGAAGCACCCTTCTTAAATCTGCATTTTAATTTCCCCCCAACATTTTTTTAATGAAAAATCTCAAACACTCAGGAAAGTTGAAATAACTCAGTGAACAGGCCCTGCCTGTGGGGACGTGGAGCTGTCTTTTCAGCACCAAGCAGCCCTCTGCTCTACCCGGTGG